CCCGGGGCCGAGGCCATGACCCTGCGGTCGTCCCCTCGCCCTCTCTGGCCACCGCAGACTTCCGGCCGGCCTGAACCCGCCCTGGGGCCCCAACCGCTGCTGCTGCTGCCTCCGCCCCTGCCGGCCTCAGTTTCCCCTTGTGCAGAATGGGCCGAGTCCCCGCGCTCCCCCCCACACCTCCCCCCGGGGGCGTCCAGCGCAGCCCCCGGATGCTTTCAGCCCTGCGCTCCGGCTTCTGCCCCGTGACCTTGGGCAGGAGGGGGGTCCTCACTTGTGGGTCAGTGCAAGACGGGGCGTGCGCGGGATGCGCCCCGACCTGGCACCCAGGCGGGCGGTTGGCGTTGGGTGAGCTTTGCTTCCTGAGGTACGGTCGCATGCTGGCCTTGAACTCGCCGTGTAGCCCAGGCTGGTCTTGAACTCACTCCGTAACGCACGCCGGGCACCGGCTCGCCCCGCAGCCCAGGCCGGCCTCCCCCCGGCTCTCCCCGGCTCGCTCCGCCGCCCAGGCCGGCCTCCCTCCCTCCGGCTCCCTCCGGCTCCCTCCGCAGCCCAGGCCGGCCTCCCTCCGGCTCACCCCGCAGCCCAGGCCGGCCTCCCCCCGGCTCGCCCCGCAGCCCAGGCCGGCCTCTGACTTTGCCATGTCGCCCAGGCTGGTTCTGTTCGCCCTGTGAGGCTCTGGCTCGCCTGGAACTCACAGCTGACCACCTGCCTCGGTACCCCAGGCGCCGGCATGGCAGGGCCCGCATCCCCGCGCCCCGCTTAGATGTTAGGTTCCTTTTTGTGGGTCTCTGCGCGGACCCTGGAGGGCTGCAGCCTCGGCCCCGGGGGTTGCTGGCTTCTGCCGGGCACGGCCCGCAGGGCAGACTGTGCGCCTATCCTGGGGGCGCTTTTTTATTTTGCAGCAGGGTTTCCCTCTGTAGCCTAGGCTAGCCGACCCGGCGCTGGCCGGCTGGCGGGCAGGAGGCATCCCCGGGCCCGTGGTTCCCAGCCACGCCACCCTGTGGCCCTCGGCTCCCTGGGGCCACGTTTGTCCCCGCGTCCTGCTCCTGGCCGGACACCAGCTTTTGAAAGTGTGTCAGGGCTTGTGGCGCCCTGCCAGCAGTCGGGGGCTCCGCGTCATGTGTCCTGGGCCACGGGCCTGACTCGGGGCGCCACCCTGGCCGGCAGGTGATGTCCACCGAGGCCTGTCATCTAGTCTGGACTGGTCCTGCCCTGGCCGGCCTGTGCCTTTCTTACTGGTCTGTTTTACCGGGTGGAGGTCTTTTCAGGGGCAGTGACACTGGGAGGTTCTGAAGGATGAATAGGAGTTTGCCAAGGATAGGAGAAGGGTGTGAGAGATGGCGTCTCCCCGGGGATGAGCACCCATGACTGGAGGTGATCCCTGTGGTGGTCCCCTGCAGGGGGGGTGCCCCTCCTCAGGGCTGGAGACGGTGGAGCAGCAGGGCCTGGGTGCTGGCTGGCGGTGAAGCTGGGTGCCCGGGGACGTCACCTGGGCAGGCAACGGGCATCACCGGGACCTTATCCTGCATGGAACAGGCAGGGGCGGCGTTCCTGGCTGGGTTACAGCCTGGTCCAAGTGCCCAGTAATGAGGCTGGCTCAGGTGGAGGTGGCCTGGTGGCCGTCCTGGACCCTCTGCCGGTCTGTGACCCGGGCTGCGAGACCGGGTGTCCCCAGCTACACCTCCCTCCCCCGAGAGGAGTGCGCAGTGGGAGTACTTGGCACCATGCCCTGGTGCCCCCGAGGTCCCCACCTCTGGCTCCCCGTCTGGTGCCCCCGAGGCCCCCACCGCCGGCTCCCCGTCTGGTGCCCCCGAGGCCCCCACCTCTGGCTCCCCGTCCGGTGCCCCCGAGGCCCCCACCGCCCGGCTCCCCGTCTGGTGCCCC